TTGATCCCTGGTACAAAATAAATAAATAAACAAACAAACAAACAAAAAAAAAATCTGGGGCCAGGGATGTAGCTCAGTAGTTCCGTCGCCTGCCTCAGACACAAGGACCAGAGTTTGATCCCTGGTACAAAATAAATAAATAAACAAACAAACAAACAAATAAATAAAAAGGGCAGGGGATGTAGCTCAGGGTAAAGGCCCTGTGTTCATCCCCAGTACTGCAAAAAAGAAAAAAAAGAAAAAAACAAAAAAATGATAAAAGGACTGGGGCTGTAGCTTGGGCTCCTTAAGGTTGGTCCCCAGTATTGGTCGAAAAAAATTAGCTTGTAAGAAGAGCTGGCTATAAGTATAATAATGTTCACATTACTGTGCAGGTCTGTCCCATGGTGTGACCTGTGGGTGATTCTGAGTTACTCCCCTTTGGAGGTGAAGAATCATTGAGGGATTGAACCTGGGTCTACCTCGCACTTTAGGAGCCAGCTTGGGACATTTCCAAGCACTGAGTCGCTGTTCTAGTTGTGCCCTTTTTTAGATCACAGGGGAGCCCTCATGAAGTGCCACCCTAGGCCCAGCCAGGTTCTGGAGCAAAACCTGTTTGCAGGAGCCCAGGAGTGAAGAGCCGAGCCTTGGGCCCGGGAAGAGGGGAGCGTCCCTGACACACACCATGGAGTGCTGGCACAGCAGGGAAGGGACGGATTTACTGTCCCTTAGCAAACTTTCCTCCTACGTGACTTTTGCAAGCCAGCCTCTGGCCCTAAACTCCCCGACCTCGCCTCTGCCTGTCTGCAGCTGGATGGCAAAGTCCTTTCTGGGACATTATGTCATGATTCTCCCAGTGACCCTGACTGTCCCCCATTTGACACAGGAGAGGCCCAGGTTGTTGAACAGACTGCTCAGGGGCTCGCTGGTTAGCAGAGGGACTCTGACGCCAGCCTGGAGATAGGAATTTGGCGTGAGAGGAAATGTTCATTTTCTGTCTTAGGTGTTTTCTGACAGGAAGTTTTCTCAAGTGTCACTGATGGCAGGTCAGGACCAAGACTTCAGCTCCTGACCTTGCAAGAGCTCTTGGTTTTCTTAGACCACAGACTAGCTGTTGCCTTTCGCTGTGGAGGGCAAGTCAAATATGTGGGCTCGGCATATGTGTATCACTGTCTCAGTAGTCTCATACTTCCTTTTCCGTGGTGCTGGGGATTGAACTCAGGGCCTCATTCCTCATATGCCAGGGCAGGCGCTCTACCAGAGCGACATCCCCAGCTCCGTTCCTGTAACGTTTGAACAAGTGTCGGCAGTGACCTCTGTGAGAGACTAGCCAGCTCTCCTCTGTTCCCAACCTGAATAACTCCTAGTAGCTCTGTCCTAACTTGGAGGGGCCCTTGCTACCCTCCCCTCACCCCTGTGGCCTAGTTGGGTGCTTCTCAGCTCCTGACTGTGGGGCATTCCTGGGGGCTCAGACACCATCTCCATCTTCACCTGCCCGAGGGTCTGCTGGTGCCCATTAGTGGGCACCATAGCCCCACGGCAGGTTCTGCACTTGTGAATCAGCAGTGGCCCAGGCATGGTCCAGTGCAAGATCCACTCCTCTTATTTCCCAAGGCCTAGGTAATCTTCTGTTTTAATTTGCAGGTTAGTATCCCAGCAGCTATATGGCTGACCTCCCTCAAGCAAAAAGTGCTGGTGGGAAAGGACAGGGAATCATAGCAGTAACTGGTGTGCTTTCTTATGTTATAAGTCATTGGTTCTCAGGCCTGACTTCACTCAGCAGTCACCAGGGAACTTTGACATAGTCTCCTCTCTGGGCTCCAGAGAAGAGCTAGGAGATCAGAATCTTTGGGTGTGAAACCCAGACTCCAGTCATTTTAAAAAATTTCTCAGGGGAGCTAGAAATGGTGGTGCACATAATCCCAGCACTTGGGAGGCTGAGGCAGGAGGACCCCAGTAAGTTCAAGGCCATTCTGAATTACATAGTGAGACCCTGTCTCAAAAACAAAACCACATCATATCTTCAGAAAGCCCCGGGAATTAAATTGTATTGACTACTCTAGGATTAAGTATGGACTAATTACTTAGAAGAGAGATATTCCCATATCTGGTTATGCACTGGAATCATGGGAGTAGGAAGCAGCTTGTAAACTGATGCCAACTCCTTGCCCACACACTCCAGACCATTTGAATCAGCGATCCTGGCTTTGGTGCCTCTTGCCCAGCCTAACCGAGCCATTTGTCGATGCTAACTGGGGGCCAACAACACCAATATTTCCATTCCTCACAGTTGCATGATTCCCATTTTACAGATGGGGAAACTGATACTCATGTGCCCATAGGGACTTGATTGGGGAGGGGGGCATCAGTAAGTCCAGTAGGCCGAGCCTGATCGACCTTGAAGTCTGCTGTTGCTGCCTAAACCCTGGGGCTTGGTGTGGCAGAAGGTGCTCTCTGCTTCTCCCACACAGCAGCTTAGCTTTCCCTGGGGCTCCCTGCTGCAGGCTAAGCCAGGGTTTGGGGTGTCTGGAGTGCGGAGGGTGCCATGAGTGGTGGTGCCTGGTATGTGGCTCCCACTGAGAGAAAAGGGGAGGAAAGAGCAAACATTCATTTGCTTTTTTGAGAGCTTGAGGAATTTTTCAGGCATGTGATACAAAAAAAATGCCTCTGTTCCTCTCTGAGGGAAATGCTTCATCCAGGTGACTGCAGAGTGTTCGCTGTACTTCCCTGTCACAATTCTTCATGCAGTCAGTGAGAGCTGGGAGATTTGGGTCCAAAACCCAACCCTGTGCCACCAGCTGTGCCCTCTGTTTAATCCTTAAGCTTTGCTTTCTCCATTGGCCAAGGAGAAACTTAAAGGCCACTGGCACTCTGGAATGCCAGCCCCACCAGGGGCCTCTTGAGGTGTCAGGAGACGAGTCTGGCCACACTGCCGGTAAGACTCACAGTGTCTGGGACTAGAAGCTTTGTCAAGTGTTTGCTGGCACCCACTCAGGTACCCAATGTCCCTGAGGCCCGAAGTGGCTCCAAGTGGCCATCTGTGCCAGGGATCACAGTGAATGTGTTCCCTCTGGCGTCACTCCACCTGCGTCAGCGCCTAAGGTGTGGACAGCTCACAGCCAGCCCTAGGGTGCTAAATAGCTGAAACTGTAGGGTTAGGGCTCCAGAAAGACTTCCCTCCCCAGCCCAGTGTCCAGGAACTGCTTCCTCCCTGGAGCTCCCTGTGTACCTGTTCCCCCACTTTCTGCACAGCAAGAGCAGATGCTCTGCAGTGTTGAGTAGACCGGATGGGGATGGGGACGCAGAGGTCCCCGCATCTGTGTCTGGCAGCCTCGCCAGCGTGCCTATCACAGAGTGCTGTTTGAGTGTCGGTGTGTCTGTTCCTTGCTCGCTCAACTTGCCTTTCTTGTCACTTGGCTTGTTCTGAAGGCCGTTTCACTAAGGATTATTCTAAGAATAGAGTGCTCCAGGTGCAAGTCTATTTTCTGAAGTTGGGACAAATATCCAGAGGATTTTATGGTGTGGTGCTTTTATCCTAGAGCTGCTATGAGACCACATCTGAAGTCTGGAGCCTGGTGACCCCTTGTAAAGCTCTCTGAGTTACCCAAGCCCTGGGCATTGGGGGCGGCAGTGTGCAGGGACAGTAGGAGGACCCTCCAGGAGCAGTGGCCACTGGCATTGCCCCAAGACTTAGACCCAACCTGCTCGTGCCTTGCATGGAGATGGAGAAGTTAAGGTCACTGGTCTTTCCTGGAGCACTCGGCCAGCTCAGGGCTGCCTTTCCCTCTGGCACAGTTGCCCCTTCATGGTTGTCGTCTTGGTGCCCAGACTAAAGGATCTCTGGCCCAGCCCTGGTGTAGTGCCTGAAGGGGCTGAGCTACTCAGCTTAACTCCTGTAATCATTGTGGACAGCCTATCGGGCAGCTGGCCTTGCCATTAACACCATTATGACCTCCGCGAGTCATTTGACCTGTCCTTGGGCCTCAGTTTCCCAGTTTCACAACCCTGGGTCACACTGTGATGACCTGCACTGTGATTATTAGTTCTGTCAGGCTGCATCTCTTCTGCCAGCCCCTCCCCAATCAGGACCCCACCAGCATAGCCTGGTGGATTCATTTGGAGGATTAGACTTGGGTTCCAGCTGAGGCTTTGCAAGGACAATGCTGTGTCATCTTAGTCAACCAAGTGCTTTCCAGAGCCTCTGTGCACACCATTGTACACTGGGAATAACAATATCAATGTGCATTCCAAGCTGGGCATGGTGGTACACCATGGGAATCCTGACACCTGGGAGGCTGAGACAGGACGATCACTGTGTAAGTCCAGCTGGGACAATTTACTGACCCTGTCTTCAAATAAAAAATTTAAAAAGGGCTTGGGATATAGCTCACGGTGAAGGCCCTGGGTTCAATTCCCAGTCCTGAAAAACAACACAACACAACACCAGATCCATTCCTAGTAAAAGATAGAAGATTCGCCAGGCATGGTGCTGCACGCCTGTAATCCCAGCACTTGGGAGGCTGAAACAGGAGTGCTTTCCAGAGCCTCTGTGCACACCATTGTACACTGGGAATAACAATATCAATGTGCGTTCCAAGCTGGGCATGGTGGTACACCATGGGAATCCTGACACCTGGGAGGCTGAGACAGGACGATCACTGTGTAAGTCCAGCTGGGACAATTTACTGACCCTGTCTTCAAATAAAAAATTTAAAAAGGGCTTGGGATATAGCTCACGGTGAAGGCCCTGGGTTCAATTCCCAGTCCTGAAAAACAACACAACACAACACCAGATCCATTCCTAGTAAAAGATAGAGAAGAAGAAGGAAGAAGAAGGATTCATATGAGCAGAAGGGAAAACCAGCACCTGTCGCATCTCAGTCCCTGGTTGTCATCCCGGTGGGATGCCGGTCAGTGGCATGACTTCCTGTCCTGGTAGAATGACTCTGTAGCTGGCTGTGGGGGTCTCTTCCCCAGTGGCCACAGTGACATCCTGATTGTGTGGGTCTGTGTCCCCACAGTGGCCAGTTTGCCATCGTGAAGAAGTGCCAGGAGAAGAGCACAGGGCTCGAGTTCGCAGCCAAGTTCATCAAGAAGCGGCAGACCCGGGCCAGCCGGCGGGGTGTGTGCCGGGAGGAGATTGAGCGGGAGGTGAGCATCCTGCGGCAGGTGCTGCACCCCAACATCATCACGCTGCACGATGTCTACGAGAACCGCACCGATGTGGTGCTCATCCTTGAGCTGTGAGTGGGTACCTGGGACCTGTGGGTGGGGTGTGGTGGGGGCCAGCTAGGGCTGGCACTGGGGGTGTCTGCACTCAGCTCAGGGCCGGGCAGTGTCTTCAGCCTCCGCTGCCTTTATCCTCTTTTTGGAACTGGGCTGGAGGAGGGCTGAGCTTGCTGTGCATCCGGGGCAGAGAGTGTTGGTCAGTCTGGCTTTCCCTGGACCCCGGGGTTAAAGGGAAGACACAGCTGGCCCAGGGTGATTTCCCGGCTGCAGGAGCACACCAGAGGCTGAGAGACGGGGAGGAGGAAGCAGGGAAGGTGGCACAATCCTCCTGAGCCCTTTGCCGAGGACAGTCCGCTGCGTTTGTGCTGTCTGATACCTTTATGATTACAGCAATCTCTGTTGTTTAAGGAGCCAAGCATTTGTGAAGTGCATTATATTTGTCATGTTATTTAGTCCTGGTAGTGAGTGTGATGCTGGATATGTCTTACACCCAAGAGAGGTTATTTTACATTCACCATGCTGAGTGCTGCTGTGAGCTTATTTAATCTTCGCCACAGTGCTGTCACACAGGGACTTGGAATGTCCCCATTATAAAGACTGGAACACAAGAGCCCACCTGGTCACTTGCAAGGCCTGGAGACCGTGCAGCTTATGCAGATAGCTGTGAGCATGAGGCAGGACAGCCTTATTTGTAGTCTAGCTGGAGAAGACATCACAGCAGCTGGGAGAATTCATACAGGTGACACCAAGGCTCAAGAGGTTGATCCTCTTGAAGGCATCTCCATGGTGGACAGGAGGGGCCCTGGCACGCAGTAGGGTCTAAGTTGGGCTGTGGCAGAAGTCACAGTGGCTGTGTCCACTCAAGCTGCAGGACCCAGAGTAAGAATGTTCTGAGCTTCATAAGCCCGAACCATCTGCCAGTTAGCAGGGCAGAGGTGGCAGGTGTCTTAGCAATCCCTACTTTTGTGACCTTGGGTAAGTCACTTCACTCCTTTAGGAGTGTTTAGGTCTCGCCACTAAGCCATGCAGCCATCCTCAATCTGCCTAAAGATCATTCTAACTTGAGAATTATCCTGATATCAGCAAGATACACATTAAAGCAGCTGATGGACGTTTGTACATCTTCCACGTGATTATTACATTACCCATCACAATGTTTAAATTCATAGAATCACCACGCTCTACCCACCTCCAGCATTCAGTATCCTCTTTCTCCCACAGTCGTCCATGCCCCTCAGACCAGTCGGTGCCTGCACCTGTTTGAGCCGGACAAAGCCTAATGAGCAGCTGAGGCTGAGCATACCCCACGGCTTAGGGACAGCAGTCAGCATCCCGATCCCAGGAGAGAGTGACAGGCCTATCCTCCTGGAAAGGCTAGGGCTACATCTTTAAGAGGCTGTGATCAAAGCTGTCCTCACCCCTCATACAAACAAAGTAACAGCAAAAAGAAAACTTCACAGGAACTGTCAAGAAATTATAGGTATTCATAATCATACACTCCAAACACAGCTACTTATGTTTTTCTGTGGTTCCACTCAATCCTTATGTTTGTATACAGTTGTGCTTGTATAATTTCCTGCTCTACTTTTCCCCTCCAGTTAACAAAATTCCACAAATAGCATTTGTTTTCTTTTAAATGATTATATCATGTTTCATTGAATTATATATCACTATTTCCTGTCGTTGGACATTTGGTTTTTATTTTCCAACCTCTTAACCATTCCAAATTTTACTGTTGATCCTGTGAGTTTCCACTTTGCTTTTAAATTGGCTGCCTCGGTGAAATCCTCAGTGGTGGGAACCAGGTCAAAGGCTGGCACTTAAGGCCCTTGATGTCTTCTCTTCTGAAGGTTGGAGTTGGTTATCCATACACCTACGACACAGGAGTGTTCCTGTCTGCCTGCAGCCTTGCCAGCCCCAGAGCTGCTTGTTTTAAAACATATCTCATCATTTATTCATCTTTAGAGTGATAACTTCATTCTTTGTTGTCCTTGTATTTGGACTTTCTTTCATTGCTGGGGAAATTGCCTGCTCTCCCTATTTGTAGGACCCCAGGGGCTGGGGTTTGGGATGGCTTTAAGAAGCCCATTTCTCCCAGCACAGCTCAAGATCAGCCCATAGTTTTGTGGATTTGTGAGATGAAAAAATGCCCAAGTTTGCTAATTCTGTACCTTACCTGTGTGTGGCCGGTGTCTGGATGTTAGAGCTTCCCCAGAGAGGAGTCCCTGAACTTTTGTGTATGGACTTGGTGACTCCCCTTGCGTCAGTCAGGAGCCTTTAACCTCTGGATCCTCGGGTGTCCTAGCAGGTTAGCAGGTTTGCCCAGTAGTTGAACCTGGTGTTGTGTCCACCTCCTTGGTTGCAGATTTGTTGGCTGAGTCTGCCCTTGTGCCACTGCCCCCTCAGCAGCTGCTGTTGGCTGCAGCGAGTCCTCCCAGTTTCTGCTCAAGTGGTCAGTACTAGGAGGACACGCCCAGCCCTAACTAAAGTTCCTTTCTACTATTGTTATTCTACCTGTGACCCCCTTAGAAGCAGCTACCTCTAGTCCTGGCTGTTGAAGACAGAGTAGGGGAGGATTTGTACAGGTTGACTTCTGTATGGTAGAAAGAATATATTCAAAATGTCAGTGGATTAACTCATGTCCTACATGGAGCTTGCCATAATTAACGTAAGTCTGCTCTGCAAGACAGCTCCCACCGCGGCCCCAACAGCTCTGGGGTGTCCTTGGCTCAGAGGCCATGGAAAGTGACACCCTAGCAGTTGTATACCAGAAAAGCCTGGGCACAGTGCCTCAGGGTGGTGTTGAGGAGCCGAGTCTGGCCTCCCCAGCACTGCCTCCTCTGGTGGTCTGTGCACACGTTTTGGGGGGAATCCCAGAAACCCTTCAGCAGGAGGACCAGCCTGCAGCGAGGAAGCGGTTCATGAAAGTCAGGTTAGCAGGGAGTGATGATCCTGGGAATGCTATGAAGAGAAGAGAGGGGGCCAGGATATCAAGCCAAGCTTTCATATCAAAGCTAAAAGAGTTTTAGAATAAGAAAAGAGAAAAACTTGGAAGATGAGAAGTGACTCTTCAGCAGAGGTCTTAGAGCTGAGTAGCCCTTGGTAGAAACTATGTTGTCTGTAGTCCTAGCTGTGCAGCTGGCTGAGACAGGATCCACTGAGCCCTGGAGTCCAGGACTGTTCTGAGCTATGTCCATTGGGTGCCCAAACTAAGTATGAGCAGTGGGACCGTGCCAATGAATAGCCACTGCATACCAGCTTGGGCCACACAGTTAGACCTGCGTCTGGAGACTGAATACAGGGCCTTGCACACGCTAGGCTTTATCCCTAGTATAAATCCCCGTGGGGTGGGGGGAGAGACCATGTTAGTGCTGTTTTAGATGAAGAAAAAGAAGGAAGGGAGGGGAGGGGATATGGGATATTTTATTTAAGGCAGGATTAGTAGGGTTATTATTTTAGTCTGACAGATTCCCCTGAGGTTGCAGCGTCATTTCGCATGGCCTGGGGCTGGGAATAAAGGACAAGGGTGCGGCTGAGGTCCCTGCATCTGTGACGTAACACCATGGATCTGAACACTGGCAAAGGCCTCCAGATAGGCCATGTGAGGCTCCGTCTCTGTGGTATATCAGATAGTTATACTGCTACTTTTCTACATCTTATTGATAGTTTTAGTGTTTTATTTCCTTGGTTCTTTTATCCACCAAAGTCTGAATAGCTTTCTCACACTAGGTCTTGTGGCAGCAAAGAGGATGTAGCTGGGGAGACAGACCCATCCCAAAGCCCAGAGCAAGGGGGCACTGAGGCAGCTGGACAGTGTTGTTAGCCCTGCCCTCCCAGGTGGGGGTGCTGCAAGCTGTTCCTTTTTTATTTGAGACAGGGCCTCACTATGCAGTTCAGGCTGACCTTGAACTCTTGGTGATCCTCCTGCATCCCAAGAGCAGGGTTGACAGGCGTGCACCACCATGACTGGCACAAGTCGTTCCTTTGAGCATCAGTCACTCACACGTTGTGACATGGAGAGACCGTGTGAAGGGGACACACTACTAACTGCTAACTGTGTGACCTTGGGCAATCACTTGCTCTCCTGGACCTCTATTTCATCTTCTGACAGATAGGGACAGCGGTTCCATCTATACCCCTGGTGGCTGGTGAGGCTCAAGTGAGAGGTTTGGAAAGCACGTAGCAGTGGTGCTTTTCACTTCAGGGCTTGGCAGGTATCTCAGAGCCCTTGTCTCGTGTCTCATGATGAGCTCCCATCCCGACCCTAGTCCCTCCCCCACCCCACCAGAAGGCAGTGACAAGACTTTGTTTTCTCACTCAGGTTTCACAAGCATATACCCCACCCCCTTTGTTGTAGAAGGACCAGGTCCCCAACCTGGCCCTTTGACCCCAGCCTGCAGAGCACACTCAAGGCCACACCTGAAGCAGCTGCTGCAGGACATGGACTGGGAGGAGGAGGGGCACAGGATGACCTCACCGTGTGACCCTGAGAAAACTGTACCACCTTCATCCCCAACACCAAGGCAGTCACTTCAGCTGCACCCAGCTCACTCTGAGCAGGGGGTGCTGCACCCTGTTATCTCACCTTTTCTTCCCCCTTCTGCCTTCTCTCTGTTCTTCCTCATTTTTTATGCCATTGATGTGTTGGAAAAGCTAGGGCCTGTTGATTATTCAGCTATCTGGACTTGACCTGTTCCTTCTGTGGTGCTGTTTAACACATTCCTCTATCTCCTGTAGCCCCTGTAAACTGGTGGTGAGCTCCAGAGGCCGGACCTTCCTCCTGGTGCTGGCCCAGAGAAATGTCATGCCAACTGTGTATGTCATTCTGGGTTTTGTAGAAGCCACCTTGAATAAGTAAAAAGAAACAAGTGAATTAATTTTAATAATATTTTTATTTAACCAAATATATATATAAAGTATTAACTACATTAACATTAACATGAAATCAGTGTAAAAATTTAATAGATATTTTACATTCTTTTTTTCATACTAAGACTTTAGAATCTGGTGTGTGTTTTACACTTCTAGTACATCTCAGCTTGTATGTGAGGCAGTGGTTAAAATGAAATGTAATCCTGTTTCAACATTAAGGTTGCGGGCTGGGTATGTAGCTCAGTGGTGCTATGCCTGTCTGGAAAGCATAAAGTCCTGAGTTCGATCCCCAGTGCTGGGGTAAAAAAAAAAAACAATAAAGTTGTGTTTACTGGAAAATAGATTGCTTCAGTTTTTAAACTAAAATTAATGAGAATTAAATAAAATTTAATTCAGTTCAAAGACACCCTTCCTTCCGTCTTTTCTCTTTCTTTACTTTCTTTGTGGTACTGAGTTTGAGCCCTGAGTTGGCACTTGGATGCATTCCCAGCATTTTAAATTTTTGTGGAGAGAGGGTCTTGCTAAATTGTTAAATTGCTAAGTTGCTAAATTGCCTAGGCTGGGCTCAAACTTGTGATCCTCCCGCCTCAGCCTCCCAGAGTGCTAGGATTATGGGAGTGCCCTACTACACCTGGCTACACTGGCCATATTTCAAGCACACATGTAACACTGACTATTAGCTAGTGTTTTAGACAGTTTGTGTATATAGAAAAGCTTCTGTCACTATAGAAAGTACTATTGACTGCTTCGAGGCCTTTTGGCTAAGATCAAGTGAAAGAGCTATTGATAGCACTGAATAAGAGCCTTAGGTGGACTTTGATTCAAGTTTTTATGTCACTGCATGTCACAAACATTGCTGTGTACTTCCTGTGATATAGCATCATGCCCAATTGTTCTAGTTTTTGTGATACTCAGATTATATTATTAAGTGAGCCAAGCCATGTTTATGGACATTTCTAAAGCAAAGAAGATTTTTATATTCTTTATTTAGAACAAAGTAGGTAATAGAGAATAATTCCTAAATGCAGGACACAGCCATTCTGGCCATATTAAAATCATCTGAGGCTGGGCACGGTGGTGTATATCTGTAATCCCAGCACTCTGTGTGGCTGAGGCAGGAGGATCTCATGCTCAAGCCCAGCCTGGGAAACCTAGTAATTTAATGAGGCCCTGTCTTAAAGGAAAAAAAAGAATTTTTTTTTGAGGCTGGGGAAGTAAATCAGAGTGAAGGCCCTGGATTCAATCCTCAGTGCCATTACTAAAAAAGGAGAATAGGAAGAAGAGGGAAGAGGAGGAAAAATAAAGGATGAAAAAGAAGAAATCATTTGAGGAAACTCAGTATAATATGGTGATTGAGAGTTATTCTGCCCAGTCTTGAATCCTGATTCTAACTTCTCTGAGCCTCTGTTTCTTTAACTATGAAATAGAAAAATAATAGTCCTTAGCTTGTAGGTTATTGTGTTAAATGAGATAATATATATATATATATATATATATATATATATATATATATATATATATATATATATATATATATATATATATATATATATATATATATATATATATCATGGAACACAGAGTAAGTTTCCAGGGATTATGAACTACTCTTATTATGTGGATTTTTTGTTATAAAAATATAGCTTCCTAGGTGTGACTGCTGGAGAATCTAATTTGTTGAAGTCTGTGCTGGGGCCTGGGGATCTGCATTTCACACATGCTCTGTAGATGAGCCCCTTCGGCTCATATCTCTTCCCCAGATCTTCTCCTGTGGTGACCTTGGCGCATTCCCATCGTTGGAGCAGCACGTGCTGGCTGGACACCTGGCATCTGTCAGAGAGTAAACAAGCCCCGTAGGCTGCCAGACTGACCAGGTCAAGACCTCCTATTTTATCTGGCCGTCCTAAGTCCCAGGCTTTTTGCCCTGTGGGTCTTCCCATCATATCAACCTTAGGGTGGAAGAGTGTGGAATGTGTAAAAAGAAAACTATCAAAAAATCAGTAGTATTATGTAGTATTTAGACATTGTATATAATGAATGGGGTCTTATGTTTAAGTTAGGGAAGGTGCCTAGATTCTCTTGAACCCGTGAAGAGGCTGTGTTTTATAAAGAAAAGAGACTGTAGGGGTCATCTTGTATAGTCTGCTTATTTTGCAGGAAAGGAAATGGAGGCCCAAGTAGAGAAAGGAAATGAATTGTTCGAGGTTGGTAGCAGGTCCAGAACCTTTCTCTAGCATCTCCCAGTACTTGCCCCTCTGTGTCCTCTCTCTCAGTCCATTCAGACTACAGCATCCCGTCCTGGCCCCAAATATGCACGTCCTCTTCAGTGTAAAATTCATTCCGTCCTCAAAGTACCAAAGGTCTTAACTAACTCCCACGTGACCTCGAAACTGGTTATGGATAAGATTCATCTGGTTCATTCTGAGGCAGATCGCTCTTCAGCTGTGGAGCTGTGGCATTCACCACTTTACATGCTTCGAGAATCCGATGGTGGGACAGGAGTAGGGTAGTTGTTCCCCTTCCAAGGCAGAGATGTAGGAGAGAATAGAGGGACCGAACTCACATCAGTCCAAACTCTGATGGCTTCAGAGTAGGTTTTGGCTTTGTGCTCTGCCCTTCAGGCCCTCTGAACGGAGGTCCTGCCCCATGGCTTCGGGTGTCCTGCCCCTTAGCTTTGCCTGGCACAGCTCATGGAGTTGCCCACCTTTAGCTCTCTGGGCTAGAATCACACCCCAAGGCTGAGCAGGTCTGAGGACTCAGGGCCAGCTCATTGTCATGGTGCCCCTACCCCCAGCTCTCTGGGGGCATCCCCTGAAATCCAGGTGGAGGCAGCTACACCCCCACAGCTTTGCTTGGCCTGGAGCCTGCACCGTGGGAGGCCGGGGGAGGCCACACCTCATACAGCTGAGAAGTGTGGCAATAAGGTTTGGGGAGCAGAGCCCACAGTGTGGGGGCAGCGCTGGAGATTCCTGGGACGGGGCTCTGTCTTCTGGCCATGGCACTGTGGACCTATACGAGAGAGGGTCATGACCTCTGACATGGTGTTGGGGCCTTTCTTGCATTGTCTTGGACAGTAGGTCCCAGCTTCTGTTTAGATGGCTAAGCTGCCTGTTGTCTTGATGAATAGCACCTGGCTTCCCTTGAGCTGCCCAGTCTGTTCTAATCGTCTTGTCAGGCAACCCATGGGCACACTTCAGCTTTCTCCTAAACAAGTTTTCTTATTTTTTTCTAATATGAATAGGATGAGGGTTTTTAAACTTCCTTTTTAGTTAATAATTCTATCTTGAAATTGTTTCTCTCTTTTCCTATTTCATTGTTAGACGTTGAGAGGACACAGGCCACTCCTTCAACAATGTGCTTAGAAATATCCTTAGCCAAGTATCCAATGTTGTCACTCCTGAATTCAACCTTCCACAAAACACAGGTGCACAGACACAGTTCAGCTCAGTTCTCTGGTACTTTACAGCACGGATGCCTTTCCTTTACTGACCAAGACCATGTCCCTTATTTCCATCCAAAGCTTCCCCCAAATGCACTTTACTATCTGTATTTCTACCAAAATTCTGTTTGCAGCCACTGAGTATTCTCTCGGAAGGCTGAGACTGTCCCTTCACCTTTTGAGCCCTTTCCAGCACTGCCCTTTGTGGTCCACTCCTGGCAATGTAGACTTTGCCCAACAGACACCTTACAACTCTTCTATCCTCTCCTCCTTATCTAGTTCCAAATCCACATTTGCATTTATTAGGTGTTTGTCACAGTCACACCCCACTCTTGGCACCAAATTCTTTCTTAGTCCATTCAGGTCGTTACATAAAACAGCATAAACTTGGTGGATTGTAAAAATAGAAATTTGTTTCGCATACTTCTGGAGACTGAGAAACCCAAGATCCAAGCACCCACAGATTTGGTGTCTGGTGAGGGCTTGTTCCTCATAGACAAACATCTTCTCTCAGGAGCCTCATGAGGTGGCAGGGTGAATAAGCTTTCTGGGGTCTCCTATGAGAGAGTGTTAATCCCACCTGAGGACTTCCCAAAGGCCCTGGCTCCTAATCCCACAGTGTCTGGGATTTTGGGAATCTCTGCCACCTAGAGAGTTAGCAGAGGCTGCAGCAACAACCTGCCCTTGGCAGTGAAGAATAAAAAGACCACAAATGGAATTAAAGGAAGTCTCTGGTCTAGGCCTCCCTGGGAACCTGGAGAGGGGCACAGGACCAAACCCATTGGCCTAACCTCGAGCCTGCAGTGCTTGACAGCTGGGCCTCTCCGCTGGTATCTTACAGGGTGTCTGGAGGAGAGCTCTTCGATTTCCTGGCCCAGAAAGAGTCACTGAGCGAAGAGGAGGCCACCAGCTTCATTAAACAGATCCTGGATGGGGTGAACTACCTACACACAAAGAAAATCGCTCACTTTGATCTCAAGGTCAGTAAGAGGAAGAAAGGAAAAGAACCAGCACTTAGGTACTGGCGATTGAACCCAGCGCCTTCACACTGAGCTACCTCCCTGGCCTTTTTCTTTTTTAACATCTTGAGACAGAGTTTCGTTAAATTTCTAAATTGCTCAGGCTGGGTTTATATTTGTAATCCTCCTGCCTCAGCCTCCCGCAGTACTGGGGTGACAGCATGCACTACCACGCCCAGCTAAGAATCTTCTTAATCACTCACAAGCACTTTCTCGCTTCCAGGGAGCAGGTGGGACATAGTTTATAAGTAGACGATGACGGAAAACTTGAAACCCATGTCACAAGACAACTTTTGAGCACCAAAGAATGAAGTCCTGGGCAGATTTGGAAGGTTGCTGGAGCTCGAGACCCAGCTCAGCACAGCCTCCCGCCTGCCTCCACCTGAGGCTATAACTTTCAGAGCCCGGAGACCGCTGGCTGCCCTCTCCCACCCTGTCCCAAACTGTGGCCATAGAACTGCTTCCAGGGCCCACTGATCATTTTGTGGTCGTTGGTACTCAGGGTCGGGAAAGTTCACTGTGACCGCACAGGACTTTGTGAAGAAAGAATGTGGTCAGAGGAGAAGAATTGCCTCCCTTAGCAACAGCTTGGCTGCACAGACGACTGAGCCGTTGCAGATATCTGATGCATGAAGATCCTTGAACTCAGGATCAGACAGACCCATGTTTACAGGGAGGAGACCATTTTGTGCCCCTGTTCTTTCAAGCACCGTGCTGGTGCCTAGATATTGCTGCAGATCCAAAATCAACTAAGGCCCTGTCTGAGCCCGGTTCTTTGCTCCCAGGGAACTTAGTGGAGGACACAGAAAGGAAGGATCAAGAGCTCTAAGTGTTGTGATGGGGAAAGCACAGGGGAGCCCAAAGGAGGGGGCTTCTCGGTCAGGTTAGGGTATCAGAGAGGGCTTCCTGGGAGAGGTGCTCTGTAATAGAAGCTGTTCTTGTTATTTCCCTCCCCGGAAAAGAAGAAAGAGAAAATTGCGTACATGGTTCCGAAACGGCCCAATGCACTCAGCACCTGGCAGGCCAGGGGACTGTGTGCTGAGTAGCTGAGAAGAGGCCAGGAGAAGGGCAGAAGGCAGGCAACGGGAGTGGGAGCTGAGCCAAGGAGGCTGCACTTGACCCTGAGAGATGTGGGGGCAGGGGAGCAGGTGTGTGTTTGAATGATCCCGCCAGCTGGGAGGATGGATGGAGCGGGGGCTGAAGCCATTATCTGGGTGAGAGAGACATGGGAGGAGTGATTCAACCTGAGCTTGAGCAGGTGCCGGATTCAATGCAGAGAGGAGGGAAAGGGCAGAGTACGGGGTGAGCCCAAGTTCTGGTGTGGGGAACTGGCCTGGAGAGGGTGTGGTGTGGCTGTAGTCCCACAGCGGCTATGCCCGTGTGGTCCCCGCTCCTGGCGCTTAACGTCACGTAGCTTGAATTCTTCCCAGAGAGGACACCTTGCAGAGTTTCCCTCCAGTTTCCCAGAGTGAAATTGCGTCAGAGGAGGGAGAGGCCTGGGAAGGCCTTTGGACCTCAGGGTGGCAATGCACCGAGCAGGAAGTGCTCTGCCTGGATTGTACCTCTGTCTCCTTCCTCATAAGGCCATGGACAATTAACCTGCTGTTTTCTCTTATCTTTGCTGGCTCCAAATGGCCTCCTCCACATAACTCCTTTGTCTTTTCTCCAGTGGTGCTGGCAGAGGTAGGAGGAATCACTGAAGCCATTAGGGCCTCGTGACTTAGCAGGGTCACCGTGCTTCTATGACCGCTTACTGCAGCGGGGGGACCACTGGCTTGGAGGTTCCGTCCCTGATCTGCCCTGAACCAGGATACATCAGAACCTCAGTTTTTCAGTCTTGATGCAAATAACACCAGCTACCTGACAGAGTTGTTGTAAGAGGGTTAGAGAGAAGCAGGATGAAGTGCTGAATGAGGAATAGGTGCTCTGGTGTAGACGCTGTTCTTATTTCTCTTTCCAGAATGGAGAGAAAACAAAACATAGCTCTTGTTGAAGTATTTGGGTTCCAATAGACCAGGACAGCAGACCCTGCCTGCTAGTGCTGTTTTACACGGGTCAGCAGAGAGCTGAGATTGGTGGCCGCGCTGGTATCTACTTTCGGGGCTCGTTCTGGATATTTTCCATGACCTGGAGGCAGGCTGGGTTTCCCCGGGAGGTGAGGAGGCTAACCCGCACCCACGGCCACATAGCCTGATAACGTGTGGATGGTGAGCTTTCCAACTCCCCACGCGTGGGATCCTTGGTGCAGGCGCAGCTGGGCAACTTTGGGCAGTGATGAGGAGCGATCGCCTCACGGTTAGGGAGACTCTTCCGGGAGCCCAAACGTGGGTGTGTGTGCCTCCCGGCTGGAGCTTTCCACCACTGCTGGATGGTGCAGAAGGGTCAGCTGGTAACTTTGGGAAGCTTCTTGATTCCATGTGGCTTCCTACCATCTGAAATCCACATTTTCCTCCCGATTTTCCCTTCCCAAGATGGATCTGAGCTTCTCCCTCTCCTGCCTGTGTCCTGTTGCTCTTTCTCTGGGAGCCAGCCACTGCACTGTCTCCATGGTCCACTGGTAACCCTCTCTCTACATTCGCCCTGCCAGGGGGCCGGCTCCCTGACTCCCCTCTGCCATATGATCATCCTCTCCTCGGGGGCTATCTGATGAGCTCCTCCTACGTCCGGCCAGGTGTGAGGGACGGTCAGGCCCCTGGATGTTCACGACTCGTTCCCAGCCTCGTTGCCGAGAGTAGCGTGTGAACAACTTAATGTAAAAACAGATCATGACAAGTTCTTGCCCAAAAATCTGCAGTGCAACCCTATTACCCATAGGATGAAGAATTGCATGGGTGGATTTGGGCCTCTCCTGCAGGGTCTTCACCCTGTTCCTGGCCTCATTCAAACTTGCACACCCCAAAGCATGAGCCACAGGTAGCAAGACCACAGATGTGTATTCTGGCCTCTGTCCCCTCTGTTTACGTTGTTCCTATCCAGGATGCTGCTCCTCTTCCTTTTCCTCCCCCTGGGTGTCCTACTCATCCTTCAAGGCTGGCAGAAATGCCATTTCCTCCAGGAAGCACTTGTTATCCTTGCGAACTTCCATAAGGCATAACTAAGAACCGACCTGCCCCTCTCCTTCTGTTGCCCTTTGTTCGCGTTTCTGCCCAGAGCACTCCTCCTTACAAGTCACTTTCTGCAGTGGCCTTCTGACATTTGATGAGTCACACAGTGTTGGAGGGAGGGAGGGACGGATGGAGACCGAATGTGCTCATGGATATCCAGGACCCTTTCCCGTCTGACCTGGATAATGCAAAGCAGCTGCAGACTGAGCTCAATTCATTGATGTGAACAGTATTGAAGCAGGAGAATGACACACATTAATGTCACATGGCCCCTCCCTTCCCGAGGTCCACTGTCCACTACAGGAAGATGCAGTGAGTCTCCAAATAAAAACGAACAAATTCTGTCCAATACACGCCTGCTTCCAAGGAGCGGAGACGAAGCTGGTGTGTGTTGTGAGTTCACCGCAGGTGTGGGCAGGTGGGGGTGGTGGGCACCACTGATCTTGCCCCGAGTTACATCGATGGAAGGGATACTGAGGCTGGCTGTCCCTCAGTGCCAGGATGCATCAGGCAGGGACAGTCACCAGGAAGGGGAGCTCGGGACCTGCCAGAAACCTTGTTCTCGTGTATGATCACAACACAAATAAAGGCCTCGTGCAGGGTGTCTGTATGAGGCTCTGTGCTTATTTCAGATTTGGAAATTTCCCTGCGTGTGGACCTCTCCTTCCTCCTCTCCCATCCCCACCTCAGCCTGATCTGATTGGAGAACTCTGAGATGCAAAGTAGCCCTCAGGACTGATGGTATTTTAAACAAAAAGAACAAGTTGGGTGAAATGATTAAAATTGTATATGAGCCAGGAGCCCAGAATTCCTAGGGGGCTTTTGATAGATGTAAACAGTGAATTCCCGAGCAGGGCACTCCAAAACATAAACCCCAGTTCCTCAGTGGCCCAAATCATCCTTTGAGCTGTTCTTATGTCTATGTTGTGAGCAGGACTGCTGGTCAAGCTTTCATGAGAATGATAACCATAACAATAATGCTTAGATATATATAGCACTTTCTAGGATGCATCATGATTATTTCTTTTTTTAAAAATTTGATCCTCATTAAGTAGAAGGAATTGTCATTTTGTGCGTGTGTTACTGGATATCAAACCCAGGGCCTTTTGCATGTTAAGAACTGTACCATTGAGCTGCATTACCATCCCCTATTGTCACTTGTTTTTCTTTTTTTGAGACAGGGTCTCACTATATAATCCAGTCTGGCCTCAAACTCATGGAAATCCTCCTGCCTCAGCCTTCCAAGTGCTAGGATTATAGATGTGTGCCACAACATTTGGTCTATCACTTTTTTTTTTTAAATCTACAAGGCAGTTAGGATTCAGAGCAGTTTAGTAACTTGCCCAAGATCATTCAGGGACTTGAACTTAGCCAGAGAAGAAACTCGAACCATAGCTGGGTGTCATCAACTTTTATTTTATTTTGTGATTATAATAGTCCAGACTACTTACTTTCTCAGGTCACCCTTTTTACACAGTTAATCCAAGATCTGTATTGTACTATATATTTATTCTTTACACAGTTAATTTCTTATCTGGTTATACTGTTTTCTCTTCCTAGTAAATTATACTTCATATTTTAAAATAGTTAATCTGTATAGCTGGGTGTTGTGCCACATGCCTGTGATCCTAGATATGCAGGAGGCTAAGGTAGGAGGATCACAAGTTCAAGGCCAGTCTGGGCAAATTAGTAAGACCCTGTCTTAAATAAACAATAGAAAGGATGGGGGAATGTGGTTCAGTGTAGGGTACCCTTGGGTTTAACCCCCTATATGGCAAGGATAATAATAGTAGGACCGGGGAAGTAGCTCAGTGACACCACGCGTGCCTCACAAGTGCAAGGTCCTGAGTTCGATCC